AAAGTGTTCATGTGACTGAACGACTTTTGCATATTTCATCAAAATTCAGGCCCTCACAATATTCGCGTGTTTGCCTTTGAATGAGGAGAAATCGAACAAAAAAACTCATCAGACAATGATTTAACATTAATAAGGGTTAAATCGTTGAAATTGTCGTGCAAGAAACTCTAACGATGATTTTTGATAGCTATATACGCGATCTTTTCAAGTAAAAACAACATACAAAGATTTAATTCACAGTTTTACTTACTTTAACAATTTCGCCCTAAAAACAATATAAACGGTCAATAAAATCCATATACGTATCTCTTAGATGTCTCAACTGCTAGTTTGTGCACGCTTTGATTTGTTCCCCATGCCACCTTAGATGTCCAGTTAAGTGTAGTTCAGCGTCGTGACTCGCTGTACGACTAAAATTCCTTAGCCATCAGTTTACGCACCAAAATCCAAATCAAGTTGTTTTAGGAGAAAACAATACGAAAAGTAGAAAGCCGATCTTTAACCCATAATTTGAAAGAATTATTTCTGCCACTGTTGTAACTCAATTCACACGTTACAAACGTCCGCCATCTTTGACATTAACTAGAGCCCGCGTTTTTAAGCAGCGGTTGCCACCATACGAAAACATCGTATCGGGAGTGGAGTCAGGAGCCAGGAGCAAGGGGCGAGAGTCCAGTGAACAAAATTCAGTCGAAAATATGACTTTCCGACATTCTTTGAGATTATTTCTTTGTTATTTTATGCTAATAAATAATTTAGAATTCCAAATCTATTGGCAACTTTATTCAGGACCATGATCATAAATGATCCCATGTCTTCTCAAACTCGAAGATAGAAGTCGCTTTGTCTTCGTGTTTTGGAAAGAACTATTTTTTCTATTTTAGTTGCACTTGAAATAGCGGCGAAGTGAAGCCGGATCTTGGTGCAGACCAGTTCAAAGAGACAAATAAAGCGGGAGACACGTCCAGGTTGGCTTGCGACAAGAATCCCATTTTTTTTTCATACTGGAATCCCTTCTCCCCGGGGGAGTGGCCAAATTGCGTACAAATGTCCTACCCTGCTGGCACAAGATTTGACTGTCATAAACACTGAATTTTTTATCTAGCACGGTCTTTTGGGGGTCTTATAAAGCTTAACTGTAATGTTCCCAAGTAGAATTCAAAATACACCACCCTTTCACATTGAGTTAGATATTTTTCTCAAACAACCGCTCCCATATGTTTAACACCCTAAATTTGGAAGAATTTTGCGTTTAATGAACCGATGACGTCAAAAGTACAGCCTTCTTGCAGGTCATGCACCGTTAATCGAGAAGACCTGGGGACGAGGTTGAGTTGTTTTGGTTGTGAAAGCAAAAATGGCGGACATTTCACTCGTTTCAATAGTAAGAACTAGGCGAAACAATAGCTAAAAACATGGCAAGAACAGCAATAGGACAACTCGAAGGAAGACATCTGCTATTTGGAGAATATTTGCGGAGCTGAACAACCCTAAACGTGCACTATCGAAGGTGAACTTAACATCGATGGAGGTAAGCATGTTTTAGCTACGTTTTTAAACTAGGAATTATTTTGAATTGAATAATAAAACAATTATTGAATTCGGCTTTCGTATCATATGAAGAATTATGGAGATCTCGGAGGGTGTCATCCGCCTCGGCCGGATAACACCTTCCTCGATCTCCTTAATTCTTCATAAGATACTCAGCTTCATTCATTAATTGTTAAGCAAGTAACGGCCAAGACACTCGATCTTATGCCCTTGGGCTACATTAATTATGTACACCGCCTTGTCACGGGAGGGGCGTGGTCAGAGGATTAGGAGATGAGGAGGATGCCAGTTTTTTTTTTTTTAATTACTGCCTAAAAGATTAATAACTATTTGTAACATTATTGATTAACTATTACACAAGTGGAGGCCCTCATTTCTAGGTTCAAGTTATTGAACCGACCTGAGCTCTTATATTAGATACAGTCTCTCAACATTATTCATTTATTTCATAAACTTAACGTGTTTTGAAATCTAACATAAATCATTCTTGAATTTTTAGGTGCGGTATTAGCGCGAAATAGTATATTAAGTGCATAAAAATCTTTCAACACACCGTAAGTAAGCGAAATCTATCTTTCAAGGCAGATTGACCAAGACGCCTTCAGCGACTTATATAGTCTCTGAACATCACTCCGAATTCCGCATGGTATTTGTTTATTTTATAAAGATAAAGCTATTGTATCTAAGCGTAAATCAATTCTGGAGTTCGGGCGACATAACTTCAGGCGAGATCTCCTTCTTCGACTTGACGGTGGTAGCTGATTAGCTAGTCACTGCCATTAACACTGCCTACCTTGCAGTTCGCGACCCCTCGATCCCTCCCTATCTTGGTCATCCAGCGTCGCTTATCTCAGGAAAAAAACTCTCAAAGCGAGTTGCTGTTCTGGCTCGCTTAAAACTTCCCACCAGTTAAATATCGCATCATTCGAGCCTAAATCACCCCGAGACCATCAAACAAAAAATTTATAATAACTGAATAAATAAAGTGAAATGAAAATACGTGGGAAATTAATTGGTTAGTTCGTGATGAACAGATAGAAAGAAAAGTACATCTGTATCTAAACATATTTACGATAACCAACACTATAAAGACAAATGGAATGGGTGGAAGATTCGCCACAGCCCCATGCCAATTTTAGTTTGCCAATCAAAAACCAATTACGTATACTCACACATGCAACTAAATTCATCAAAAGTTCGTTGTTAACAGCTTCATGTCTAGAGTCATTTGTACCCAAGAGGTTTAGGAGCTGATAAATGACTTAGTCTATGCTAAGCCTTTTAGCTTTTTTTAAGCCTTGGTAGGGATTCCCTTAAAATGGCACCAATTCCTCTCCTTTAAAGCGGGAAAATAGCGTCACGAGGATATTTGCTGTTTGAGGTCAATTCTGTACTGAAACATTACTTTATTCGTGTTGTCCAAAAAAAGCATGTGTAGAGTTATGAAAACGATCTAAAACTATTTCCATCAGGGAACAATATCTATAATAATAATTTTTTTGGTGATTTTCTGCAGGCACAGCCAACTTTTTCAAGTTTCAATCCATTTCCATCCTTGACATCCGTGGAAAAAGACAAAAGGAAACAGTTTCAAGGCCTAAATATAGTTTTAAATAACAAAAATGGACCATTATTTTTAAGAATTCAGTTGATACGAAGAAAGTTTTGGCCTTTATAAAAATGATAGCAAGGCTACAGTTGTAGGCTTCGTAATATCTGATAGCAACGTATCACGTTTCTTTATTTACTCATGAATATCTAGAAATGATGATCTTGAAATACTTTTGTGGAGTATTTTTTAAGCTTGGCCACCACAACTTGCATAAATATAACTACATGTACTACAGCCTGTAACCATTTCTTCTGTCCCATTATTTCTCTGGAGCCATGCCTACTCAATCCAATATAAAAGTTCTTCAGATCAAGCAAAATAACATTGCAAGCATATGTTTTTCTACCTTTTATACATAAAAAAAATACAGGGAGTCCCTTGTTGCCATTAATAAATCTAACTGTTGATCATATAAATTATGCCTGACCATTAAAAGTTGTCCACAAATGGCAAAGAGCTCCCATTATTCTTTGACAGTCAGCTTTCACAATGCTAAAAAACATTCACTGAAAACAAGATTTGTTAGTAAAAAAAAATCTACAAAAGTCTTTAATTTTTTTTGGACCAAACTGGTAAAGCGATGATATTTGCAACAGCAGTACCCTATGGCAAGAAACCTCTGACTTTATTTCTTTTTTCAGGCTCTGAAGAAAAGCGACTGTGTAAAACATTTTCAAGGGTGCACCGGACAAAAAAGGGGCAAAGAGATGTCAGGTTTAAAAATGAAGAAAGAAACTCATTCCACCGGTTACCATTTGCTTAGAAGTGATCCAGTCTTGGCTGATGAGTTAGAAGAACCACCGGAATCAATCCAAGAAGAAGAATCAGCCGAAGACAAAGCAGCTGCCACCGACAAGTCTCCTCTCTGGAAAGCAGTAGTCAACTTGATGAGTACCATTGAGGGAAAAGGCCTGCTCGCACTACCATATGTCATAGCTCAGAGTGGACTAGTGGCCATAGCAGCAATGGCAGTTGTGCCATTTATCGCTTTCTACACTGGAGCAATCTTGATTGACTGCCTTTACGAAAAAAACGATGATGGAGAAAGAGTGCGTGTCAGATCCAACTATAAACAACTGGGTGAAGCTTGCTCCCCTCGTTTTGGCGGTACCATAGTTTCCGCTATCCAGTTAGTGGAACTTTTTCTCCTGGCATCTTTGTACCTTGTATTATTTGCCTCGCTTTCGAGAGGTATCTTTCCAGATTTGCCGCTGTCCGACAAAGTATGGATGCTTCTCGCAGCTGCGGTGAGTCTTCCAACTTTATTTGTGAAGAATCTCTCGCAGGTTGCATGGATGAGTTTATTGAGTGTGATAGCTTTAATGGTAGCAGTAGTTGCTGTTTTAGCTTACGGAATAGCTCATGAATACTCATGGGCCCCAAGGGAAATCTTGGTGTGGAATATAGATAAAGTGCCCGTTTCGTTTGCAATCATTATCTTCAGTTATATATGCCACCCTGTTTTGCCAGGTGTTGAGGCAAGCATGAAAAACAAATCCAAATATCGCACAATGCTTGCCCTTTCATACCTTTTCGTTGCTATCGTAAAAGTAGTTTTTTCAGTGTGTGCATTTTTATCTTTCAGTTCTAATATCCAAGATGTTATCGTAAACAGCCTTCCTATGGGAGTTATACGTACCCTTGTAAACGCATTTTTACTTTTAAACGTAATTTTTTCATATCCCTTCTGTGTAATAACGATAATGCAAATAATCGAAGAATCAGTCTCCCTCGATTCGTTCTCTTGCAAGATACCGGATTTTGTTTGTTTTATTGGCATCCGAGTTTCAACCAATTTCCTAACCCTACTTCCAGCAATTCTAATCCCACATTTTGCGCTATTTATGGCGTTTATTTCAAGTTTAACGGGATCTGCCATTGCGTTTATTTTACCAGTAATTTTCCACCTCGTCATAAAACAACACGAACTAAAACTATACCATTATATTTTTGATATATCAGTTTTAATTTTCGGTTTCCTTGCTGCTGCACTTGGCTTGGTTTACAGTGGGAAATCTCTTTTTGAGGATTTGTTCCATCATCATTCAAATAAGTAATTATAAAATAAGTTTGAGAATATCGCTATTGTAATTTATGCCTCCATTTTAGGGAGGAGCAGAGGAGTTTGAGCCTCTCTACTTGTGTGCCTATTATTATTGAAAGCTAAAGTTTATCTCACGCATCATTAAGTAGTCGATTTGTTTATTATCACTCAATTTTGCCTTAACAGTTGTTTTGCAACAAATGAAGGCATTCCTACCTTAGGATGGATGCTTTAAAACTGGTACATAAGATTCATGTTACCGAAACCTTTGGAAATAAATCAGAGAGCTGCCTTTTGGTCAATTTTTAATGGACGGCATCAGCATAAATTGTGACATAAATCTTTGTGCACCTTTTAATCTGGCTTTTTGCTAAAGTTTTCGTCGGTTCATGATCAGGGGTAGCTTTAACATAGCCAACTGCTGTTAATTTAGCCATGCTACGGGCATGGTCACTTTACATTGACCAGAAACCTTATTAGTGATCACCCAATCCTTGCAAATTCATCGGTATTAGTTTGGTGTGCTATATGCTGCTGATTAGTTGTTAGATTTTTACACAATCGGTAGGCATTGAGTCGTTTTTACACCGTAGATCAAACCTATGTTTTAACTGAGGCCCCGTTTGAATGAAGAAGGCCTGCCCAGGGTAGATGGAACACCCTCCCAACCGACTCAACTTGAGCGGGCGTTTATACAAGAAAAAAGGTGACCTCTTTGCCATTCTCGTCTTCATAGGCCGCGATTCTTTTGATCAGCGCCAGTGACCAAAAGAATCGCCGCCGTTGGGAACGACTGAATGCTCCTTTGCCCAAGCCAATATAGTGCTCGCGCATGCTCTGATTCTCTAGTCTTGGTTGACCCGGCTGGGCGAGGCAAAGTGACGTTAGTGGAGAAAAGGTGACCCGGCTAGTTGGTTCGTCCAGGGCACCTTGGATAGGCGAGTGACCCTTCTACACTGGAAACATTTTCTCCTTATAAACGGGGCCTGAGTCTCAGATTCTTGCAAGTAAGGCAGTTGCTCTTCAAAATGGTGTCAGTTTTATGGGTTGGAAAAAAGAAACGAAATGGATTGAATTGACACAGGTAGGCTATTTGGCGGGGTCTTTGATAATGTGTGGTTTAAAGAGTCATCCTTGAAAGAGAGAGACCTACAAGATAAATTGTGAATGTTGGAGGTTGTAAAAAATGGTATTTTAACTGAGCGAGAGTTCAATTTGGTCTGAAATTATACGCACGATTTTAAAATCGGAGCGCGCAGCGCGAGTTCGATTTGAAATCACAAAACTAGTATGATTTCAGACCAAAATTGCACTACACGAAGTTTAATTACCGCCCTATTACAGTATTTTGAAATCGCAGAATTCAGTCAGTACCAAATTAAATTGATCTAGTAGTCGCAACCTTAATAAACGTACATTTAAAAAAAAAATGGCTTGCATTTATTCGACTGTGTGTGAATGAAATGTTTAATGTGGAATGTGTGTAAATATATTTGTGTTTCTTTAGACTCCGCATCACTTTACTTGCTTTCAACGGGTATGAGACAGGTTTGTCAACTGGGAAAAATTTAATTATCATGTTTTACGTTAAGGAGCTAGGAGGGAACTGCCAACACTACAGAAAAAAAAATAACAAACACCGCATCACCCGCAAACAAAAACA